TCCATAAAAGAAATAGACATACCATTGTCTGTGGTCTCGAGATGCCCTGGCATTTAGATGCTTACTAAATACAAGTTACATTGCCTTGAGGAAGTTTGGCCCAAGGGTGAATCCTCCAAGCTTGGCACGGTGGCACCCCAGCTCAGACAACACACAAGACGAGGATTAATCTCAACATTCCTTGTGTAATTTAGCTGGGGATCATTATTATTTAATCTGTTATCACTTGGGTGACGTGACCGTTGACAGCTCTGGTGTGGCCTTATCATGGAAGCCTTGCAAGCCGCATCGGCGACAAGTCCGCCAACCATCACATCCTCGGCAGTAAAAACAATAACAATGGCAATAAAAATATATCTTATTATTATTAAGCTAAAAGGAAACGCAGGCCCAAAGGAAAGGCATTTAGAGACCTCCGGATAGCGTTGCTCCGTCTGTGTAAACACTCGCACCGATCACAATCGCGGGTACAGTAGCAGCACCAAGATCGCCATGTCCTTAAATCGTGGCCGAGCTCCCAGGGGCGCCTGGTCCACTCCAGCCATCGCTCTGCATTATTCATGCGGGCCTCTTTCCATTTAGCGGCCAATAACCGCCACCCAGGAAGCCATTCAGATGGGTATCTTTCACCGCCAAACTACGTGCTTGTCAGTTATCATTCACGAGGAAGTCCATTTTCAACATCCCCAGGACATTAAGTAACATTGTCACTTGCAGGCCATGCCAGGTCACAAGCCGACAATACAGGCCACTCCCAGACCACAACCTCACCACCCCAGCTATACCCAGCCCACAACAAAGCCACAATGGCCATTGCCAGACCTCTGCAACTTCCACCAGACACTACTAGACCACACCAGTCAGCTACCACCAGCCACTGGAGGCCACAACCATGCCACCACTGGGCCACACCAACAATGAGCATCCATAACCAGGTCACACCATTCAGACAGCACCAGCGATTACGATCTCATCTTTCAGGCCACACCAACAGTTCTGTTCGGCAATAGCAGCCACCACCAGTGCAATGGAGCCACTCTGAGGCAAGGTGGTGCCAAATTCTGCACCTGCCCACCACATTCGTTGCTGCGACAGCAGTAATGAGATGGCGCGTCCATTAAATCAATGCTTTGCTTCTCACTGAACTTCAAGACGGCAGCAAAATAAATGACCTGGACTCACGGGCGTTTCAATTTAAATTTTTTACTATTACTATTAATAATAGTAAAATGTTTATGCCATCAAGCTCCCACGTCAGGTTTAATATAATCAAACACATTCATGGTTTCCCCAGGGAAGAGGGTTCAGCCAGCGGGGCTTTAGAACATTATTGAGTTATCGACTCCAAAGTCATACTTCATAGCCTGGCAGCCGAGCCTTATTAAATCTACAGACAGCCCGAGCTGCGTGCAAACCACAAGCTACAGCGGCGCAGAGAAAGCATCACGCTAATAACCGCACGCACAGGGCATACACACACACACACCCGGGTGGTATGCAACGTTGGACCAAAATTCGCACGTGGTTGGAAGCCGCGAACCAACGTTGGCCGAGGGTTGGCTCAACGTTCCACGTTTACTGGGGTGATAAGACACGCACTCGTAAACAAGATAGCGTTGGGCCCAATCGTTAGCACGTGGTTGGAACCCGCGGACCAACGTTGAGCCCAACGTTGGCTCGACGTTTCCATGAAGGCCATCACCATCCGCACCACCAGCAGCGCAGGCGGTGCACGGTTAATGTTAACGGCGGCGGCGGCAGCAGCAGGGGGCTTTTATCTCACGTTGTCAGCTAAGCCAGAGTTCACGATGATGTCACGTTTACCTGCCTTCGGAAAGGTGCATCACGGGACGGGGTGTGGTGGGGGTGGGTGGGGTTTAGGTGAGGAGAGAATGGCACTGTACAAGTTGGATATAAGCACACGTAAGCGGCATGGGGTTTTTTTTTTCTTTCGATATAAGCAACCCCACACCATTACGTCCTACCACGGTGGAGGATGGGCAATGGGCCGTCTTCACATACAAAGCACAGTTCGGTTATAAGAACACAAAGCACAATTATAATATATAAGCAACAGAGAGTATGTTTTTCATTTGTTGGGGGGGGGGGGCGGTGTAGACAAAAGGCGACGTCCGATTTTAAAAAAGCACACTTCGGATATAAGCACACGTCGACCTGCTCTTTCTCAAGGTTGGTGCTTACACGCGGCAGGCATCTCTGTTGGTTAACGATGGGGGTAAATAACAACAACACACGGCCAACTCCGTCCACGACAGCCCATTCAGCTCAACTACCGAACGCGGCTCAACGACGCAACACCGCCTCGAAGGCGCGCCGCAGCCGTCCCAGCCACATCACAATATTTATTACTCCTGGAGGAATCTAATGAGCTATGAAGCTCTTTTTCACAGATGCATGGTGGTGATGGTGGTGGTGGCCTGACCCACTATCAACTCCGGTAATGGCAGGGCCCCCCCCCCCGGTTCTGAGTAAACCTGTGGCCAGGGCCAACGCCCAGGTGTGAGGTGTGAGGTCAAGCAAATCACAGTCGAGGTGCGAGTCGGGTTCAGGTGATGCGGAAGGCGGCCAGGTCCCAAACCACGTGCGGTGAGGAAGTGGTGGTGAGCGGGGGGGGGGGGGTCACGGCTCAGGTAAGGACACGAGCAATGAATGCCCAGGTGAGGACAAGACCGACGAGGAAGAACAGGTAGGGGGGGGGGGATTACACATGGCCTCGGTGAGGAGGGAAAGGGCAGTGGCCCAGGTGAGGGCAGGAACAACGCCCCAGGTGACAGCAAGGGCATGGCCGGGGGTGTGGGGTACGGGGCACGGCGCTCACCTGCTCGGGCACACGGCCCCCGCTCTGGGTCCCTCCCCGCTCCGAAGTCGCCTCAAGCCCCTGGGGGGTGTGGGAGTCGGAGTCGTCCGCCGGTACCTCTCCCTCGGCCACCCCCAAGGGGACTTCAGGGCGACACGGCGGGTACGAGTTGGGGAGTGCTGGGGTGGGGGTCCAGGGGAGGCTTCGGTGATCCTGGCCGGGCACTGGCCACGAGAAGACGCGGGTTGGTGTGGGGGGGGGGGGGTCCGCGTCCCTGTTGTTCCTCCCCGCGGTTAGTGGGGACCGACAGCTCCGGGAGTCTCCTTCGGTTCTTGGTTTAAACAACAAAACAACAAACTCCCGAGGGCTCTTGCTGTCGCACGCGGCGCGGGCGTCGTGCGAGCGGAGCGGAGCGCTGAGCGAGCGCGTGCCGGAGTGAGTGGCGGTGGTGGAGGAGGAGGAGGAGTGAGTGAGAGAGGGAGGAGAGAGGGAGGAGCAGAGTGGGGGGGTGGGGGTGGTGACGAGGACGTGCCCCGCTTTGTGAGGACGTGATGACGGCTGGCCCGGCCAAGGGAAGGCCCCCCCCCCCCCCAGGGCCCCCCCTCCCACCCCGTCTCTCTCTCTCTCCATGATACGATACATGCACCTTGGATTAATGTATTACAACTTACTCACAGCACACAACTTTCATGATACCACTCGCTCACTCTACTCAACACGGACACATCCGATTAGGGGCCGTCCATAAATGATGTCACGCGATTTTGGACGATTTTTGATCCCCCCCCCCCTTCGTCACACAGCGTCACAAAAAGTCAGACCCCCCCCCTCTTAAATATGACGTCACAAAGCTCTGACCCCCCCCCCCCCCAAATAAAACATGCTTCAAATCGCTTTAAACTATTGTCATTGTAGTGCGTATTTAATATGGCGCTGCACTGTGATGTTGTATAAAAAACATTTATTAAAAGTATATTTAATTATGTAAAACGTGTTGTCTATATTTATTTAAAGTTGCGCTTTTTGATGTGACGCCACATTTATCACCCCCCCCCCTCGTCACACATCGTCACAAATGTCTGACCCCCCCCCCAGGTGCGTGACGTCATTTATGGACGGCCCCTAATACAACTCACTCCACTCAACACGTACACCTCCGATTAGCATGGTTGGCTACGTACGGTGCGAAAGAAGTTCAACATACACACCTTACATAATACAACTCGCCAACTCTATACATAAAACCCATACAACTTGCATAATATAGACCACTCGCCTTTTGCCCGTCCAAGGATGGGTGTATTGCAGTAAATCTTAAACTTACAAGCGAAAAGCAGACCGCCACGTGATATCCATTGCATCAATGCGTGTGCAATTTGTAAGGGCACAGACAACACGTTCTACTTAATTAAATAGACTTTTTAATACATGTTTCTCCTACAACATCAGGGTTCAGCGCCATAATTAAATACGCACTACAATGACAATAGTTTAAAGCGATTTGAAGCATCTTTTATTTTTTTGGGGGGGGGGTCTAACTTTTTGTGACGCCGTGTGACTGGGGGGGGGGTCAAAAATCGTCTAAAATCGCGTGACGTCATTTATGGATGGCCCCTAAGTTGACGCCGAGGAGGGGGAAGGAGGCACCTCGGCCCCCCATGTGGAGTGACGTCACTCATTTGGAGGACGTCACCTTATGATTATTAATGAGGGGGGCTGTTCGATGTGGAGTGACGTCACCTGCTTGTGATTATTAATGAGGGGGGGGGTCCATGTGAAGGACGTAACATGTTCATGATTATTAATGAGGGGGGCTGTGTTCGGTGTGGAGTGACGTCACTTGCTCATGATTATTAGTGAGGGGGGGGTGTGCTCCATATAGAGTGACGTCACCCGCTCATGAATATTAATGACGAGGGGTGGGGGTGTACATTTGGAGGACGTCACCTGCTCATGAATATTAATGAGGGGGGGCTGGTCGATGTGGAGTGACGTCACAAGCGCGAAGGACAAACATTTTTGAGTGGTTATAGCAGGTGTTCTCTATACAACACACACACCTTGCATAGTACAACCCACGTGGGTGCCACTAAATTTCAGGTTTTGTTATCTCCAAGCCAGACCTACTCGAATTCGTTTGCTGTCCAACTAAAGCCACCGCCAGTGCAGAGACAACCTCTCGATGTGTCCCGCGGTGCTGACTGCTGCCACGGTCAGTAACAGCACGGAGGGACATTGTCGGCAACACGTGCAGCGTGTAAGAGGGTACCCCGTGAAGAGGAACGGAGCGGAATGGGATTATAAGCTGTTGGCGTTAGCACACCCAACGTAACACATTTATGGGAGCCAGTAATCCCAGGAAACCAAACCTTCACGCTCCCATATGCGTAGTGAGTGGCAGCCTCACTCACTCTGTTACACGCAATACACACACATACAACATTACTCACTCTCTATGAATGTGATAGCACACTCACGCACTATGCCTCGTACACAACACTCTCACAATATACACTCACACTATACATCATGCAATCATACTCTCTTCACATTGTATACACAACGACAAAGATGTGTTGCCTTAAACAGACCGTCGGGGAAAGTCCTCTTAGCGAGCACCTATTAAGGCCCCCTCGACACACCTGTCCGGATTTGTCTCCCCAGTGGCGATGTTGACACACCACACCAGGTACTCATTTGAGGCTGATTTGACCTAGGGGAGGCCCAGGACCGGTTCAGATAATAGTCACTGGTGTTGGCCGTGAGCGATAATAATCGAACCCGGGTCGCTGGGTTCGTAGCGCAACGCGCTAACCACTACACTACTATACATTATATACACTCACACTATATGATGACGCACACACGCGCTTTGCATAATACATTGAGTACTGACAATGTATTCTCACACACGAAACACAATACCAGGTCTCACACAATAAATCGTTGACTCGTAATACACAAACACTTTACGTAGCACCCAGGGCGATATACATTCAAACTCCTGGATACGTAAAACACTAGCCCTATACATGCAGCTTATACATAATATATACACTCTCGCACACTTTACGTAATATAGGACTTTCACACCATACACCACACACAATACACAATAACTCAACATTTGCAAACGATCTATCTCCAAATATCTGTCTCTCCATATTTATTACACAACCTATCAGCCGCACGACCTAAGAATGTGTTTAATTTCAGCGGCATTGATTCAAGACAAGCAAAGTTCTGTACCGGTATCGACATTCACTTGTCTCATCAGAAACAGTCAGGCTCGCTTGAACTGGTGGTGGTGGTGAACTGCCGAGTTTTTACAATGGGGTTCCATACTCTATGCAGACCAGAGGTCGCAAACGGGTTTTGATTCCTTACCCGTACCCGTACCCAGCCGCACCAGGGTCGAAAACGGTTACCCGTAACCATACCCTACCCGATACCCGGCTACCCGTACCCGGCCGGGTATCGGGTAGGGTACGGGTACCCGATTGCGACCTCTGGGATGAAGCCATGTTGCAGGTGCGAGTGGGTTGATTCTAGGAACTTGAATTGTGAGAAGAGACAAGACGTTGGGAAATGAGTGACAAACGGTGACTCACCAGTGACTCACGGCCTACCCGTACCCGGCCGCACCAGGGTCGCAACCGGGTACCCGTACCCGTACCCGGCCGGGTACGGGTAGCCGGGTATCGGGTAGGGTACGGGTATCGGGTACCCGGTTGCGACCTCTGATGCAGACTGCATCAGCAGTAGGCCACGCTTTCCCACCTGATGACGGACGCTTGTGTTGCGCCCGAAACGTCGTGATTTAATTTAGTTGTTTTCATTTATTTTATTTTTTTACCTACGTGACTTTACCGAAAGAAACAAAGAGTACGAATGCTTGCAGTCACGAAAGCTTCAAATCTAGAATTAATGGGGTTCCAGTTCGACACAAAATCCATGCAGTCTCTGAGATACGTACACCCGACTTACGAACATCCGCACTTACGAACGAACCGCCACAATGTTAATTTAAAACATCCGACTTCTGAACGTTCGGTTGTACTTACGAACTGAATCGCGGGATTATTTTGTTTGATGCACAAGCAAGCCAGCATGAGGACTCAAGTGAAAATAAAATGTTTTTTTCTTTTCATGTTACTTGATTTTATGTTTTATCCACTATACAGTATGTATTACAGTATTACATGTGAATGTATAATACTTCGTATTTATGAGTTTAACAATCCCACTCCTTTTTTGTTTAACTATGTCAAATTGTATAACACTGTACAGTACAATTAAATATTGAGTTCCGAGATACGAATAAATCGACTTACGAACCGGTCTCAGGAACATAACCCGTTCATAAGTATACGACTCAACATAATCGCTCGCGTCGTATGTGGAGAATACGAATAACAAAATAGTTCATCACCGTCCCCTTTACAGATCCGTCTCTATACATAAAACATAAGCACATGCCCGTTCACACATCCCGTCAACCGAACCACCGCCTTCAGGGGGTTCCATAATACTGGTAGGAACCTCCTGGTTACACCAGCCCACAGGGGATTATTGTTTCCGTCCATCAGTGGTGCATCCAAAAATGGGAGGGGTGGGGCTGGGTGGAGAGGGGAGGGTGGGGAGGGAGGGGCTGGGTGGGGAGGGTGGGAGGGGAGGGGCTGGCTGGGGGGTGGGAGGGATGGGGCTGGGTGGGGAGGGGCTGGTCACCCCGTGGTGCCCTTATAAAACTCAACGTTTAACCTACTCACGCCGGCTTGTGCCCGCCCTCACAGTCGGGCATATTTGCGGAATACACCACGCCGCCGTTGACCCTGGCCATTGACCGAGCAACCCAACGTTGCTACCAGCTCCCTCCGCAGGAATGTGTTTTCAGCAGCATTCATTTACAACGAGCGGTGGCTATTGCCACGAAGCGTCGAGGTAATCCAATCGCGTTGGAGATCAAAACGGCGGCTCCTGAGCGATTGATCAACCACCAACCAGAAAGTCACGGCCAACCATTTACCCGGAGTGGTTTCACCTTGCCACCGCAACTATCGACATAAAGTACTAGAGCACCATCTATTGGAACAAGTTGTTATTATATGTTATTGTACGTACGAATTCGAAAGTCGGGTATTTTTGGTAATAGGTGTTTCTCCTTTTTTTTCTGGCAACAAAACAGGTGTTAGGATGTTAAAACACCAAAGTGAAAACTTTTACAAGGAATCATGTCTGCATTAACCACACTGCTTGTGGTCAGAATGCAAACAAACATACTCTGATAATATGCAAACAAAAAACATACTCTGATAATATTATCAGAGTATGGTTTTTGTTGCCAGAAAAAAGTGGAAACCCCTATTATCATATTTTGGTACTGGCAAAGGAGATCCCATGATGTCGGCTATTTTTATTTGGCGTCAGCCGTAACGAGAATTGTTTTCTGCGTATGTGAGCGTTTGTTCTGAGATACGCAAAAAAAAGTTCCTGCGATTTACCCCTTGGACCGCGATCAACGTTTTGGTCACCGCAACACACAGAACACACTCTCACTCAGGTTGCACAGCACCGTTGTGAGCACGGGGCTCACACGGAATAAGTTCACGACATTTACACGGCGAGTGAAGCACACACACACACCTGGCGCCTCGTGGGTTCATAACTAAACACACAAAGACCCCCAGTTTCGCCTTGAACAGGTTATTGGGGCAAGTGTCGTTAACGAGCTCCTATGAAAGCCGACAGCACGCCAGAGATGGCTGTGTAGCTGGCACCACGCCTGTCCGCCGTTGTCTCCCCAGTGCTAATGTTGCACACACCGCACCAGGTACTCATTTAAGGCTGAGTCGAGCTATTAGAGAGAGTTGGGGGGGGGCGGTCAGGTCCAGTTAAATATCCGTCACTGAATACTGGTCTTGAGCGGGAATCGATCTTGGGCACCGCTCTCCATTAACCAAAGACACACACACACGGTCACTGGGAAGGGGAAACTTATTGACCAATATTGACGTAGCCAAGCCTGACTTAGCTGATGAGACACTGTGTGTATTTCGCATCATGTCCCCAGAGTTAGTTATGGGCGAATTGTATTCAGGACGAATATCTGGGCTGTACAGTATTATTGTTATTGTTGCTGCTGCCCGTACAGGCGGTTGCACGCAGAAGAAGACGCCCTGGTGATGTAGGCAGTGATGAGAAGGAAACTGGCACTAATTGGACACATTTGTAGGATGGACAACAACAGGAAAATTAAAAGTGTTGTTGTTGTTCGGAAAAATGGAAGGAACCGTAAAGAGAGGAAGACCTACCAGAGATCGTCTTGACGACGACATCACAA